GCTCTGTTATAACGAACAAGGGCATACACTCCATATTTCATGGGCGCAGCACATCCATAGCCCCAGCTGGTGGCTCCCTCGAGATGCCAGCGCCCGTTGTACTCACAAACCAGCGGTCCTCCAGAGTCACCTTGGCATGCATCAACACCACCTTGATCAAGACCTGCGCATAACATGGAATCGTGGATTTTACCAGGATAACCAGTCAGGCAACGAGCTTTRGACACTAGAGGAACAGAAGCTTGCATCAAATGGTTTGGTTGTGAKCCTCCTGATGCCAGGGTACCCCATCCAGTGATGTAACATTTCTTGCCAGGATCGTCAAGAGGWAGAGGCAGGTCATCACGCGGCARACAAACAGTAGACACGCCTTTGCCCAAGACAGCAGGTCTAGCCAGCTTRATGACTGCGATGTCATTACTGTATCGAAGTGGGCTGTGGTAGTTTGGATGGGTGATGATTTGAGCGACAGCAATGTCTTGCTCTGTTCCTACAGATCCACTTACACGGTAATGAGCGCCCATTCTGGAAAAAGAAAAAAAAAACAGTTTTAAAATTGCAAAGTACTGTTGTTTTGGCCTTAAAGGCTTTGATTGCTACCTGATCTTAATCTGAGATGCTGATTTTCCCACGACACAATGTGAAGCAGTGATAACAAACCGAGGATGAACCAAGGATCCTCCACAGAACTGACGACCTGAAGAAGTTGTAAGCATAGCTTGCCAGGGCCAACTGTTGACTTGTGCTTGAGTGCCTCCCACGATACGGGACGTTACTGGACGCTTTCCACATTCTCCTACGAAGGATCAAAATATGCTATACAATGTTGAATCAGAAAAAGGAATTTACAAATGACTACTTTGACGATACGGCAGCCATCTTGGATTGTAAGACATTATGTGGCGTCCAGGGTGCAAATAGAGCTTTCTTACAGTTATGACGTCGATTGACATTAACATCTCACAACAAGAGAATGCAACAAAAAGATTAATTAACATGGTACATCGATCACCTTTACTCATAAAAGAAAGACAAACAAACGAAGCTATATATTTTCGATATTTTTTT